AGATCACTTTCTCCTCAAGAGATGTGGTGGTGTGTTGGAGACAAGAAGTCCTGGGACTTGTTTTGACTTAATTGGAGTTGATGTTATGCTTGACTCTAATTACAAGGTTTATCTACTTGAGAGTAATAATGGGCCAGAGCTGTATACTAGCAGAGACAAAACTGAAACTAAAAAAAGTAAGAATGTAAGGTAAAATAAACTAATAATACTTTCAAAACAACTTAGAACAACAATACTTTTTTCTGTTTCTTTCTCTCTTCTATCTTTTGTCTATTTTTTCCTCTCTAGGCTAATGATTTAGCTCACAAAGCAGTTCATCATGATTATGATACCAGTTACCAGAGTTGGACGCAATACATTACCTAAACCACATGACTTCCATAAAAGGTTAACAAGTTTCGGTGTCCATAATGATAGTGCACACATATAATGTATACATAGGTTGGTGGAGTACATGAATAGAAGTAATAGACATTTTTGTGGGGAACAAGTTGGATTTGGTGGAAACTGCATACAAATAGAAGAGATTACAATGTTGTGGCTACAGTTTTATGAAGTAAACACCTTTACTCTCTTGCATGCTATAGCTGTTATTCATATATACTACTGTAGATGTTAAATAAAGGAATTACTCCTTACAAATTCATAGTATTGTTCTGGATTATATCAAACTGGCTCAAAAATTGTCAGCTGATACAGTGAAACTGTTTTTGTGGTAGTTGTTGGGACATATCACATTGTTTATTTTAGAATTTCTATAAATACTTTTTGGGCTTGCCTTGCATGTGTTGTGTGACAAGTTTATCATTATGCTTCTTCTACTGTGTATTCTTCTTCTTCATAGTGTATCATCTTTTAATATCAGGATTGATGGAGATAATGGAAATGATTCAATTGAGTGTCTTAGAGAACAACCAAAGTCTTCCTGTCAGTCATTGAAATATGTAGCTGATACTATTAACAACACTGGTAACCTCACAATAAAGATCATCAGTCCTGCTCTTAGTCTACAAGGTAGTGTTATATTCACTGATATTAATGGACTAACTATCAATGGACAAGGTACTAACATTAGCTGTAGCAATGGATCAAGGCTCTATGGTAATTCTGGTATAGTTTTTGATACATGCAGTAATGTTACACTCAATAGTTTTACTATTGAGCAATGTGGGTTGCTACATGAAAAAGAACACTACTATACGCATCAAGGTATACTCTTTGATAAATGCAATAATTTTATTGTTTCAAAAGTTAATTTTAGCAACAATAATGGTTATGGGCTAGTACTCAATAACAGCAGTGGACATATACTGCAAAACATTTTTTCAAGCAATGGTATAAAAAATTTTGAAGCCAATGTATTAAAAAAGACAAGAGGAGGTCTGCACATAGTTCAATATAATGCTCATCATACTACTATTGTGATCGTGGGTAGTCAGTTTATAAATAATTCTGCAGCATCCATAGGTGGAGCATTGTATATAAACTTAGGTAATTGTGCAAACTTTATTTTAACAATTGCTGGTTCTAATTTTATTGGTAATACAGCTGGTACTGCTGGAGGAGCTATTGGGTTTATAATTGAAAAAGGTAAATGCAATAATAATGGCACCACACCAATTGGATTTCGTATTATGATGCTTAACTGTACTATTACCAATAATATGGCAAAATTTGGTGGAGGAGTTGTAATTCGAGTTACTCATTATGCCAATGATGC